GTGAAGACTCTGAGATAAGTTAGAAATATCTAATTTCACTGCAAATGAAGGAAAATGTGTCTTTATGTCTCTAATCAAAATCAGTGTTTTGATTTGGTTGAGAACAGATAACTTGAAGTACCATTAGCTCATTTGTTTCTCTTGCCTTTTCCTGAATTGCATAGGCCACATTTATAAATGGAGAGGAAACTTTTGTCAAAGCTGTTAGTCATTTAGAGTTCAGTCGAATAGTGTGTGGTTTTGAAACCTGAAGTTTCAAATAATATTTTTCACAGTTGCACTGATGAGGCATTTCATTAGCATTGGAACCTACGCTGCCTGAGAAAATAACCTCTTACCATAGGCTTCTTGCATGCATTTAATCTCCTTTCACTTTATTTTTTCCATCTGATGGAATGCATCCCTCTCCTTTTCCCATCGTTGCTGTTTTTCAGGAATTATTCCGTTAAGCAACGTAACATTTGCTACTTCTCTAGAAAGACTTACTAGGCCAAGAAAATCCTTTTTTTTTTTCTTTTTAAACTTAAATAAATAAATAAATAAATAAAAATGTAATTAAAATGTAGAAAAAATGCACAGAAAATCCCATTTAATGCTGGGTTTCTAAACCTCTTAAAACTATTCTATCCCTTGACTGTGGGTTTGCTGGTGACAAATGTTTTATGGGCATACTTTAGTAGACACCCGTCTAAAATCTGTTCTTAATAGTCAGATCCTAAATTGGAACCAGAGGGGCAGAAAAACCAGATTTGAAATGTGTTTCTAAAGGTTTGTTTTTACTTTCAGTTGAGATTGCCTTCTCTCATCTTTTGTACTGCTGTCAAAAGGGCCACTCTCGTGGTTGTTCAAACTCCATGCTTCTTGACAGGAACAGTTGGACCCCTCTTCAATGATTTTCAGATGAAACAGCTTCCAAACCTCCAGAGCTTTAACTTGTAGTTATTAGGCCCTTTGAAATAGCAACACATTAATCAGCTAAAATCGAGTGGTCTTTTCTCCAAGGCTGTGATGTTGCTGTTCTCTTCTAGGTAGAACTCTAGTCTAAATATTAGTGTCAAGAGCTCTTCTTTTTTCCCCCTCCAGATATGTCTATTTCTTTTCTGCTTCTATTTTGATAATTGTTTTATAATGTCGTGAATTAAATTGTTGGGTTCGATAATAGGCTTTTATGTTCTCAAATTGCATTAGAAGATGTAACATAGAGAGCTAGTTTTTTGCTTGTTGATGTTTATTTTAGAAATCAGCTGCTGTCATTTTAACTTTTCTCATGCACAGTATGAAGCCCAGAACAAAAGGTGTCAATGATGTCATGGATTACATTTGACAGAATTTGGTCTAACGATGATATGAAACAAGAAGAAATAAAGTGTGGATTGTTAAAACCAGATAGATCATTTGGATCAGGGGCTCTTGAATGTTGTCCTTGACTTCTGTGAACAGGTGATCTGAACCTGTTAATGATTTCCCTTACCAACCTATGTGTTAGCAAGAAGATAGACTAAGGCCTAAAAGAAGTTGGGAAAATACCAATCCTTGCAGTAACCATTGTGTATGTCAGCTGAACCATTCTTGAGTTTTGACAAAAGGCTTTGGTAGAAAATAATTTAAGAGGGATGTGGCGGGAGCTCTTTTTCCCCAGTACCACTGAGGAGGAAATACAAACTTGCATGTAGTGTTCTTTCTGTTTTGTGTGAGCATTTTGGGACTCACCTGGCACAAGCTTTGCAATATTCACCATTGCCACTATCATTTCCAATGCATTGAAGCCAATACCCCATATTTGTGATGTTACAGCTGTGCATGGCTATCCAGAACGTGGCTGTCTTTCACATCTCTGTCAGCACCACCCACTACCTCATTGTGCTCACATCCACTGTTTGGTCTCCATTAAAGTTCAGCAAGAATCAATGGATGTCCATGTGTGGAACTTGTTTCTGCATGAAGAAATTCAATGGCACGCCTTTGCTTTATGTGCACTTCCACGTCGGATGCCGTTGTGTCAGACTGTGCATGGCAACAAAATGTAACAGAGTATTGATGGGAAGGTTCAACCTCTACTGCCATATCAACGTCCACCTATGGTGTCATGGGCCAACATCATAAAATAGGGGGCAGTTCTTGTATAGGAACTGCTTTACTGGCTGATGCTATAGAACTACTGAAAAGGCTGTTAGGATGCAGAAATATATCTATTTACTGTATAAACACCCTCTCAACTTTTATTATGTACTGTATGTTCACAGGAATCATTTCCCGTACCTCCGAGGCTAAGTAATTTTTGAATAGCTAATTCAATTTGTCTTGTATCTGTGTTATGTAACAGTAATGAAAGTTGCCTCTATTACAATGGTAACAGCAAAGCAACTCTTCTTAAGTAGCTGAAGGAGCACAATCTAAGTGTTGCCATCTGAATTGCAGCTCAGCAGCTGATAACCACTCAGCGTTAGAAAGGAAGCAACAGTATGCTTCTGCTATCAATTGAGCCTGTGCTGAGATTTTGTAATTAAATTTTAAGTTTTATTTAGGGCCTGAAACTTAATAATACACAAAATACACTGTTGGATCTAAAATCACCAAGGTCTTGGTTTTCCATCTTGCCTAAATGACCTGTGATTGCAAGGTTGTATTATACTTGCAACAGAGCAGAGTGATGATCATATAGGATGGTGACAGATGCACTAGAATTGGTGAAAGTCCTGCAGTTGAATGAATGAAGAAAGGTTCTTCAAGGGCTTCATTGACTCCTGTAGGAGTCAGCGTAGCTGACTGCTGGTGGAATCTTTGCTGTGCTGAGACAAGAGTGAGTTTATGTAGACTCTGAGGAGATGATGTATATGCAACCTCCTCCACCATGCCAAAGCAAATTTTTTAAATAATTATCTACCAATATGAATTTCTATAGAAGTGCTTTCGTAAGGATCAGACGTATATGTGTGTGCATCAATTTTAGCTGTCTGTTTAAATGCAAGGTATATGTAGATGGATATGTGCAGTAACAGATACTTATACTTCAGAATTATATTTGAGGTGGGTCAAGAGCTGGTATCACCTTTACTTGATCTTACAAAACATTCGGGGGAACTGGAATAACTTAATAATTGTTTTTTAATCTTGAGATATCACACTTTTTGGAGACTCCTGTAAGAGAGTTCAAGTATCATATCTTCTTGGCCAGCATTCGTGTTTTTCTGTTACCTTGCTTACATATGAAATGTGACTGTTAGTACAATTGTCTAATTTGTAAACGTGTTGAAGAGCATGATAAAAAAAGAAATTACAATCTAATCCTTTTCTGTGTTCTCATGCTGCAAATCATTAGTATGGGGCTTATATTTCATGGATGTCAACCCACTTTATAAATGTGTATATCTCAAATATTGTTTTGCTGACCTATAGATGCCAATAACAGGATGACAATCTAAGTCCATGCATAGTAACAGTTAAGATAAAATCAGGTTGGCTTTAGAAAATGTGGCCTTTGTTTGGGCGGGGCTACGTATACAGTCATTGTCTCTTAGTTTGTGGCCGGCCCCTGGTAGATGCTAACTGACCAATTGCCAGATATCAGGCAAGACTTTTTGTTTAAAAGTTGCAGAAGCTGCTGTTTTGTAGGGGTGCGAATTCTCCCCATGGAATGCGGTGGGAAGGAGTGTTTTGATGTGGTAGAGTCCAGAGTCCATAATGCTATATATGTTGCCATAAATAGCCTGTTCTGCAAATGCCAGCCTTGCCTTCATATACAGAGTCTCAGGCTGAGGGTTAGTGGAGCTAGAGATTCAGTTTTCTGATCGCCTGAAGTTCAGTTGCCCTCTCACGACAGTTTGAGATGTGTTAACTGGAGGATCTGACTCTCTTTCACCTGCCTGTATTTGCCCCAAAATGTGACTTCTTGTTTCTGATCACTTCTGAGAGTCACGTGGGGGAAGAAAAATCTGATAAATGTTTTTGTGCCTACTCTCTGAAGGAGACTGTTTAAGATTTAGCTTAAAGTTTCTATCAGCGTCAGTCAGTTCTTCTGAAAATGCGGTGTATCTTTAGAAGAGGAAATGGGATCACAACATGCATTTTATGACAGTTCTGGATTTAGTTTGTTAACTTACGTTTCCAACCACAAAGTTTGGAGTCTGTTCACGTATAATTGGTATTTGTAAGACAAGATTGCAGTTTGGCTTGGTATCGTGTTTTTGAAAAATGGTTAAATGCTTTTTAAATCCCCATCGCAATGGTTACACGTTCCACTGATCCAGTTTGCAGAACCGAACCTCAAAAGTTGGCTTCTACTTTTGCAGTCAGAGGGTTTTATCAGATATTGCTTCAAAGGCACAAACTCATGCCTTTTCTGGATAAAGAGGCCCCAAGCAACCAGTGAAATCAGAATATGCTTTACTGAAAAATGGCAGGTATATGGAAATGGAGAATGGAATTACGGATTCCTTCTCAAAATAAAGCATCACATGCAGCCAAGAGCCTTCTCAAAGGTCTTTGCATTGCTGTGCCAAGAAGAGTGAGTGGATTAATGGTGAGGTTCCATTTGCTAAGCATACCTCCTGGATTGACTGAAGAGGTGGATGGCTCCTGTTGCACAAGAGGAAGAAACTCTTCTCTAGTCAGTGAAAGACTTGCTGGCAATTAGGGTTTGATGAAGTGGGACAGGTTTAAGTGGGCCTATTATGCTCTAGCATTAATGACAAAGCTTTCAGGCTCGAGCAAGTCCCAGAAAGGAGTGAACAATGCCTTTGGACCAACCTTACGTTCATAGATTTGTACTTCACCAAAAAAAGGGAAGGAGAAGCAAACAAATAGTAGCCTAATGGATTCAAACAGAATAGAATGAGAATGCTTTTCAAGCAGGCTTCTTTTTTTGCCAAAACAAGAAATGAATGAGGTTAGCAGAGATTCAAGGATGTGTGTACATCAGGATAATGGCTGGAACGTTTTCTTGCATCACATTCTCTTTAAACACCTGTATGTGTTCTTTTCTGTTGCTTTATTTCTCCCAGGTATTCATGGTCACTGTATGGAGCGTTGAACTGTACATGGTGCCCCTGGCTTTGCTGGTGCTCTTTGCATACAACTTCTGCCTTGTCAGAACAGGGAAGGTCAGCAACACCCAGGATGCCCAGGCAAGTAAAATGCCATTAATGTTTCTGGCAGCCACAGCTTGAATTTGTCCTTCAGCAGAATGTCATGCATTTAATGATATTAATCTAGTTGTGCAGCTAAACATTTTTATTTCAAAGTTACTGAAAAGAGTCCTCCACCCTCACAATTTTCTTGATTCAATGCAAGCAATAAACCATTCAATGTAGTATGCAGGAGAACGCGTAGGAGGGAAGTTTCACTTAAGAATAGTTGTAGTTATTTTGTAACTATGTTGAATTAAGGACTTGCAGTGTGACAAGACCCCAAAGCCCATGCCTCCACTGCTCTTACACTTTGCATCGCTGTGATGATTCATGACTCACAGAGGAGGAAAGTCAGTTCACGCTGAAATAGAAGTTAGCTGTATTTTAAACCTTGTCCTGCTATCTGAAACTTCAAGAAGAAACCCTTACTCCTCCTTTCCGCCCCCCCCATTTAAATGACAAATATTTTTTGTGAAAGTTAGTCCTCAGTTCTTTCACTTGTTTTATGAAGTAAAGAAATCCAAAATACAAAAATAATTGTATGTTGCAGTTGTGTATGTTGAGATATGAAACTCTGATGTTGACCACTGTCTTTACTTGTGTAACTACGATAACTGCAGTGGAAGCAGAGGATAAATTTGGAGATTCTCATAATGTTCCATTTATAAATGCATTACAAGTACAATAATGAAATACAGGCTGAATTAACTCTTATAACTTCTGATAAAAAGATGATTGACATTTGTACCCCTAAGGGCTTCCTTTACACAAATGAATTGCTTGAATTATGTACACAGAAATTGTATCCGAGGATTTAAAAAAATTGCTATTGTATTAGTTTTAGCTACAAAAGTTGCTTCTAGTTCAGTTTGGATCCATTCTCAAATGGAAGGATTGTTGGAACGCGTGGAAAGTCATACTATAGCGAAAAGGAAGGAGGTTTGATTTGAAAACGAAGGGTAAGAAAAAATGCTTTTCTCCAAGTCCAGAATAACATAGAAAGGTGTTGTACATTTCCAGAGGCTACTTTGTTTCATCAAGAAATGAGGACTATTCATGTGGGAGAATCTCTGCCAAGCATTTCTTTTGATTGTATTATTTTAAAGGCAATACACAGTCTTGCTGTGTTGCCTAGGAAAAGTGCGCAGAGACTACCATTCAACACCTATCACTCATCCTGTGGTGAGTTTATTGCACGTTCAGATGAGGTCAGTCTCACACAAGTCAGCAGGATTGAACAGCAGATCGTTCAGGTGGATGCTACAAGAGGTTCATATTTGAAATTCCAAGTTAAGCAGTAGGGAAGAAAAGTTGAACAGAAAATTGGCCCTTTTTGGTCACGCATCCTGTGAGCAGTGTGATGCTGTGCAATTCAGGGGTGTATTTTGCATAAGAAAAGTTACATGTCTGCCTGAGTGCTTTGCAGGGTTGGGATCATATGGAACAAGTCATCAAAGTGCCTATAATATTACCTGATTCCTTTTTTATGTGTGCCTATGATTCTAACCATCTGTAGGTCAGAAATAGACAGTCAGGTGCTACCTCTGGTCACATCTGTCGTGCAGATGACAGAAGTTATTTTCTTCAAAATACCAGTGCTTTTTTTCACAGTTGCTTATTTATTTTTGCTTCTTGAGACCTTGGCTATATGTGCAGTACTTTTCATGTATAGTTAAGAACGAGAGCAAGAGTCTTTGGAAGGGAGGACTTCACGTTCTCACTCCTATTTCTGTCTATAAAATGGAGATAACAGTGTTAACCTTGTAGGCATGAACCAATTGCCAGGATGTTAAATGCATGAGTATTGGTAAAACGCTTTATGATTTACAGATGGGAGCTTCTATAGAAACGTAAACCATGATCGCTGCTAACTTAGGTACTCTGAGTAGGGTAAAGAGCTTGAGTAAACCTGGAAATGAATACTGAATACTAGTTGCAACTATTTTGGAAGGAAAACTGAAAACCGAATCCCAAACACTTCTTGTTGTTGATTCTTCACATCTTTGTTGTTAACTGTACTAAAACTTGTAATATAGTGAGTGAAATATTAAATAAACAAGAAAATCTTAGAGGACCCTATTAAAGACTCAGTTTATAAAATACCTGATTTAAAACCCAATCATTCCTAATTTCAAGCCATAAGCAAAACTTTTGTTTCCCTTCCCTACCTATCAGTGTAGAGGTTAAAGGGACGGAATAATGCTGCATAGAAATCTGAATATGAATCATGAGATTGATTATATTCATACTAATGTATTTTCTACCGTCTAATGCTTCGGTAATGGCCCTAAAGGGAGAGAGCATTCATTGTATCAGTGAGGATGGAACAAGTTGAGTGTAGAGTCCTCAGCCTTGACATGCTGACTGGTTCGTTTGTCAGACTAAGAACACAGCTATTTACAGCTAGTTAAAGTTGGCGATGAATTTGAAAGCCAGTTGCCTTCAAATGATAGGACACAGCCACTAATGCTTTATTTAGACTTAAAATTTGTATAGGGTATTGCCTGCTTTGTTCAGGATATCACAAAAAACAAAGTCCTTGAATGCTAAACATGATTTCAGAAAGGTGAAAGTTGTGGGTTTGTTAATGACTCACAATAGAACTGATAGAAAACTGTGTAATGAAATGCTGAGCTTTTTGAACATTGCCTGTCAATGAGAACTGTAATTTCTTCTAATATGGACATATGCTTTTGCAGGAGCTTATGGGCTTGGATGAAGATGACGATGAGGAAGATAAGGTAAATACATCTTATGGTACTTTAGCTAGAATCAGAAAGAAAGTGGCTGTAGCTCACTAACCATCCTATCACCATGAGATCTGCATTCCTTACCTGTTTTAACTGGGAAAACAGTTGTTACCTGTTTGCTAATCAGCAAACTGACAATTCGAGAACGCTGGTTGATTTGTACAATGTTCAATAATGGCATTACCTGCATGAGACCTGTGAACTTCATTTGAATTCTGTGGGGGTGCCCAGGGTATGCTTGAAATCGTGAGACTTATGTTCATGTGCCAGCATGTATGTGTATGGGTGGACAAGGTGAGTACATAAAATACATCATCACTTCCGTTGGGAGTGTTGGATGAACATTCTGCGCTAATGGCTTACAACAAATCGTACAGCATTTCCATTTCTGTAGAATTGTTGTGATTTGTGAAGGACTGGTTAAGGTTTTCTCAACATTTCTTCTAGAACCTTTTAAAAAAAAAAGTTTTTAGTTTTTCAGCAGAAATGTAGAAAGAGTTGGCACTGGTGAGGCCTTATTTTATTAGAGCATACTTCTTCATTCTGCTCACCATGAAAAATTCATTGGATTTTTTTTCAAGTTTATCAAACCACAGTGACAAATGATAAAAGGATTAGAGGGCATGACATGTGAAGAAAGATTAAGAGAATTTAATGTATACAGCTTGAAAAAAACGTAAGTAAGAGAAGGAGAATCTGATAATCTATAAATACTTAGGAGCTCAAAGGTGAGGAATTATTTAACAAGCAACAGCATGCAAAGAAACTTGAGCTGTTGGGAAGGAAGGGTTCACAGGGCAATGCAAAACTTTCAAATTGTGTACTAAGTTAAGAAGCTCTTTGTGAATATTCTGTGGTTTAAGAGTGAAATCGTTGTGAAGAAAATCAATACCACAGATAAAAAGTGTACCTTAACCCTTCTCAGTCACATACACTAGAGTTGAAGCTCAGCAGACTTGTTGATAGGAGTAGATGTTTAAATTTAACCTGCTCTTCTGTTTGCTCATCAAAATACAGCAATCACAGAAATCCATTGAAGTTGTAACTGGAAGTCCAGACAATCCAGATGAATTGAGGGATTCTTTTAATGCACAATAAGTTTCTCATTTTTACTTCATTCTTCTCATTGTTAAATTGGTCAACTAAGTGAACCAGTATCTAGCAGAAGTTGCTAAATGGAAGTTGCATTGTTTCCCAAGAAATATTGCATCTCTGGAATGTTGATTGTTTTGTCAGTGCCCAGTGTTAGGTGCTTGTATATGCTGACTCTGTATTTTTGTGTGGTTCCTAAATGTGTAACATATTCTCTGTAGCCAATCCTATTTCTGTTCTCCATAAGAAAGCCTCCATTCGGCTTTCTTATCAAGATAATGCTTTTATCTCAATATTATGGCAATAATAATTCCTAACTTGTATTAATTTGTATACTAGTGTTGTATATCTGAGATTCAGACACAGAATTACTGGAGAATTGCCATCCATTCCTCATGTCCCAGGCCACTCACTTTGTCAGCGTTGCCTCACTGTCTTCCTGTTATCCTGGGTCTATTTGCCCCAGCGTTAGACCATGTTGTGCATCTTTAAGTGCATTAGGTTATTCTAAGTGACTTTTCCATGCTTGAGGGTGGCCAATGCTCTCTAGGGAGTGTAAGAAATATGTAATTTTATGACGTTATCTCACAGCAGTGTCAACGTTTAAATAGACAACCATACTTCGAAAAGAAGTCTGTGTATTTTTTTTTCCTCCCTAATACAAGAACCAAAGTTGAAATCTGCTAGTTGAGTCGTAGTCTACGAGGCCACTGTTTCTGTTTCCTATCATCATGTTGTATCAAAACAGTCGCACACATTGCCTTTCTGGGTTCTGCTGCAAGTTAGACATAACAGACCATGCTTCTGGGAATTGTAACACACCCTCTAAGAGATGAACTGTTTACAAATTATAAATACACAGACGCTCAGTTCAAAAACCCGTGAGCAGATTAACTCCCTCCACCTAAACTATCTGTCTTCAATGACAGCGCTTAATTGCCGAATCCCCCATCGTTTCTCCCTCTGCCCTTTCCAAATACCGTCACAGAGATAAGAGAGCTGTGTCCCTTTGGCACAAGCTGCTCGGTGGATGAATGCCTTCTTGGATTCACTCCATCTTAGATGTGGAGTTCAGGCTCTGTCCTGTCGGCTCTGGGCTCTGTCAGACTGTCTGAAGGATTGTTTTAAAATTACGTCGCTGAAACATCTTTTGCCCACCAGTAGAGTGGTATAGACAAGTTGCATGCAGCTTAGATTGTGAGTTGTCTGATCATTGAATGTTTCTGTTTATTTTACTTTCTTCCTCTTTCTTCTCTTGACAACGACTGTGGAGCTTCAAGAGCAGACAGCTACTTTGTTAAGTAAGAGTGTGCTAGCAGCAGATTGGAAAGAGTCTTTAAGTTTGCTCATAGTATTAAGTTTTGTGGAAAAAGGTTTGCGTTTCCACCAAAACAGAATAAAAACTTAGTACTATTTCCAGATTTGGTAATTAAGTCTGAAGAAAATCAGACACAAAAAGTCAGCAGAGATTCCTGTTTTTTTTCTGTGAGGATCTCCATCCAGTGGTGAGCCAACATAGCTGTGCTTGACTAACAGGATGTAATAGGAAAGGATTAGACGATGCTGTGACTTCAAGCCAAGTTTGTTGACAACTTCCAAGAAGTGTTTAGCGTCTCATGGCCAGAAAAAATCCCCGAAGAAGAATTCCTCATTCCCAATATAAGAAATTCTTTCAGAAATAGGTACCAACTTGTATGAGAACAATTTGAAAAAACTTAGCCAAACAAATTACAGTCAAATTCATCCGGTAGCAAACAGCTGACATTTTCCATTTGTGTTCGATTCAGCATGTGGAAAACCTTCCGTATGGATCTTATTTGTACGGATGAATTAAGATGAAAATTGCATTAATTTTCTCCACAGTAAAGGTCAGTAATTGAAACGTGAACCAAGAGTCTATTGTGTAAGATGCTGTATCCCCATACTTAGGAAAGGTCATAGACAACAATAACGTCTCATTGTTTTATTCTCTAAAAGTATAAATAATTTTATTAGAGTCTTACTTTTTCTTCCATATAACAATTGCAATGTAATATTTCATCATCTCCCATTGAGATTAATGAAGAAAAATGATGGTAAAGGTTTGAAAATCCCTCATAATTAAAAAGGGAATGATCAGACAAAGAGGGGTCACATACTTTATCCACAAAATTGTGGACAAGATTGAGTCTAAAAAAACAAATTAAGGTGTGCATTTACGTAGATTTGGACTTCCTTACATTGCTGCACTGTCTTAAATAAGCATGATGGATCCTCCCTTATTTCTTCCTAATGAGTTTGTGTACAAACCACAAATAAACTAAGCTCCTCCATCATCTATATTAGTATTAAGGAATAGATTCTGCTGCTTGTGCCAGGAATGATCAGTGCAAAGAAAGAGGTTGGGGCACTTCTAAGCACACAGGATCCATCTGGTCTGGTTACAATCTTGACTAAAGTAATGAAAGTTTCCAGTTATCACTTAAGACACTGTTATGACTTAGGTAAGTTTCTTCCATGCTTCTTATCGACCTAATCAACTTCTGGTTAATCCAGAGTACAGAGATTGCTCTGGTTATGCTTTCCTCTTTGCAAAGCCTTCTGCGTACCAGAAACTGGAAGAGAGATGATGTGTTATTTTTCAGTCTACGATGTGGCATGTTTTAAGAATGCTGTGATCCGTAAGCAGCCATAACTTGGCACAGTCCTTGGCCCATCATCATGGCCCACCAGCATTCTGGACATCCGTAGGTTTGGGAGTTATGGGAGAGAGGAATTCATAGCAGGGACTTGGCAAAGATTTTCAGGTATATCAGGTGCTGTTGCGTGGCTTTCCTCACATTAAAAACCTTGGCAAGCTAACATTCTTCCTCTTGCCCTGCAGGTAGGCGAACCAACACACTAACTCCTCTAAATCTCTGGAGGAATATTAAATAGCAGCGAGCAGACCTCTGGGCTGAGCTCATAAAACTCAAGGAGTTTAAAAATTTCCCTTAAAAATTCCAGCTATGTGAAACGGTGTTAAAATTTCTTTTGAATTGGGCAGACATATGAATAGGACTATCTTCCTCCTGTACCCCAAATTGCTAGATTATAGATGATGGTGGAGTAGTTTAAATCTAATCACGGTGCAATTGTTCTTAGATCTCATGTATTTCCAGGAGAAAGCACTTTTTTTTTTCTTTTTTTTTTTCTCAGAGTTGTTTTTCTTTTAAGATAAAAGATACTTCTTTCTTTTTTAGTTTTTGTGCACAGGTTTCTCGCCAGAACGTTGTTTTATTCTGTTGTGAGTATTGATATTGCTTTAAGACTTGCAATAATATCACCAGATTCTGGGTTATTTTACATCTCTATGCAAATGCACACAAGTACAGAGCATGCATTTTAAACCCCTGTATTTCACATCTGTCCAGAGGGAAAGCAACAGAGTTATGACCTAAGCCTCTCCACACAATCTTAAATTCTGGTTGGTTTAGAAAAATCAAAGTCTGCTTTGCACGGATGAAATCTGTCTAATGTAAGCAGAGAAAGTGCTGTGTTTTCCTATGAGTGCTCCTTAATGAGGCATGAGATGGCCATCTTTGGCCTTTCTGCCCCCCAGACTTAGCTGTAGGATGCTGTGCCCTGCTTTTAAAATGCGTCCTATTAAGGCTGGTGGTGCTGTCCTTCATATCAGCCTGAAGTAATTCTATTGGCTCTGGTGGAATTATTCCAGATTTCACACCTTTTTAACTGAGAGCATAAATTGACCTGTATGTGTTGCATTTCCTCTATTTGATAATTATTTCAAGTACGCTCAGATTCGCTACATTTCCACAGCCAGGCAGGCACATTTGCAGCATGGTGTTAATAAACAAAACGATCCTGTGATGCACAGTTTTGGGACTGCACAAGGCAATCGCTCGGAGTTTGGCAGCCAT